GGTGCTTTGGGCCCAGGAGGGCTGTGGGGCAGGTGCCTGGTGCCCAGGGCGGGCATGTGGGGCTGCGGGACGGGCATGTGGGGCTGCGGGGTCTCGTGGTGAAGAGGGGGGCATGGGGGTCTCCGCTGGCTGCTGATCGTGGCTACCAAGGCAGATTCTGCCCCTGGGTCCTGCCCCAACTCTGGTGAAATGGAAAACACTCACTATGGGGCGTCTGCTGCTCAGGTCTTGCCGGTGCCCAGGGCCCTGGCACATTTGAGGCTGGCCTTCGCTTTGGTCACACATCACATTGTTTTTCCCGACTCTGAAGTGTCAGGAGCTACGTGTGCCAGAAATCACAGCTAAGCGGTGGTGCTGCTCTTCCTCTCCTGAAGCTTTTCTGACTTCACATTTTCATGAAGGTGTAGTGAGAGGTGAGTCTGGTCAAAAGGACTTAGAACTGCAAAGGTAAAGAGTAAATCCCCAAATCATCTTCAGGTAATGTGCTTATCTGTGCAGGAGCTGCCTGAAGCCAGTGGATGAGGATCATGTTTGTGTATAAATGATTATCATGCACTTCTTTTGAAGAAGTAAGCCCTCAGGTGAGTTTGTTGTTAAGTATTTATAAAGCTGTTGTTGACTCTGTGCATTTTGTGGTGTTGAGTGGCAATAAATTAGCTTCCAAGTGTCTCTTGTGCCCTTTCTGTCATATGCTTGCCTATAGCGTTGTTCTTATATGTTATCTGTAAACAAGAAAATGAAAACAACTAAGACTGGAAAGGGGAGTTGGAGTACAGGGAGGGGAACACAGTGACAACACACTGATTTTTTTTTTTTTTTTTTTCCCCTCTTAAAATCTACTTGCCCGCATTAGGTTGCGGGCTTTGCTGGAATGATTTGGATATCAATCTGTTTTCTTATTGCAGTCCCATTGACAAGTAACTTTGGCTTTGCCTAGGCTGTGTTTTGCATGCACTTCTTTCTATGCTGTTGGGTACTCTCCTTCCCCTGTTAACATGTTGGATGCAGGTAGTTAGTTCAGAAGTAATGTAAAGAATTACCCTTGCCTGTGCATTTTGTCCACACTGCTCCTAGTTCCCCAGGTGTTTGCTGCAATGGTTCTTTGTTTCCTTAAATTCATGTTTTGGTAGGTTACAAAAATGTTCAGTGCGAGCCAGTCCTCCAAAGCCCAGTTCCTCGATAAAGCACGCCAGGCTCGGGAGGAGCGGAGAGAGCTGAAGGAGAGGGAGCGTGCAGCTATCCAGATCCAGGCTTTGATCAGGAGATTTCTCTGTCGATGCCGCCTGCAGAGGGAGATAAGGTGTGTGAAATTCTGCCTTCCGCGCTTTGCTCTTATCTGGAGAGGTGTGTTTGATTTTTAACTACTGATGTTCATTTTTCCTACTTTCCTAGGAGAGAAGTGGAGGATTTCTTTGGCACAAATGAATCTAGTTCAAGTAAAAGAAGTGCTCTTTCTATCTTCAGAATTGCTAGGAAACTGCTGTTTGTATTTAATCATAAAGAGGACAAAGAGGTAAGGTTGTGACTCTGACATGCTTTTTTTCTTTTGAGTCCATATTTTAACAAGTTAAATAAGTTTAGTTACGTAGTGATTCTGTAGGTTCCTGCAATATATTTAGGATTCAGAAATGGGATCTCTGTGTCCTACTCGTTGGAGAGATCTGCCTGTAGGAATGAAATAGAAGAACCCTTGAATTTTTTAGTAGCAGTTCTGTATTCAGGGCATAGTTTAACGCATGTTTTTCCTGGTGACTGTGCCAACTTCAGTAATTGAGCAGTGCCTTATGATTTTGTCAGCTGCATCAGTTCCCCCGGCAGGTACCTTGTGGCAAGCTCACAAAGAGCTGTCCTGGCAGAGTGTAGTGTGCAGGCTGTTTGTATCACAACTGCTTTTCTGAACATGCCCTGAATTTGTGGTTTCAGAGTGAAGCCCTTTGCTGTAGTGTCTATGAAATGATTATATTTGCCCCAGGAAATGGTGAGGGCTAATTAAAAGGAAAACAATTGGAAAATGAAAGGCTGTATTTAAATTGCAGCAGCAGTGGGTGACTGTGGTTTGGTTTTTTTTCTTTTAATGCCTGTTCCATTGAGCTCCTCTTCTGTTGATGATGGTGCAAGTACTACAAATGCAGTTTTCTGTATTTACAGCATCAAACAAAAAATGTGTACATTACGAATTTTTTAAGTGCCTGGCATCCACTTGAAGTTCTGTATTTACAGTAATTGGGTGCATTGCTGAAATATGTCTGTTCTACTTTCTCTTCTTCCCCGTCCAGCAGCAAGTCAGTCCCTTGCTGGGCTGAGGACTGGGCTGTGCTCGTTTGCACTCTATTTCTGGACACTGCTCTCAGTTAGAATAACCACAGCAGCCAATTCTGTAGCTCAGAATGGCTTTATAACTTGCAAGCACGTGACAAATACAGCTGGACTGAAATAATTATAAAGGAGTTCTGGATGTGATCACCAGGTTCTGCTGAGAGCCATGATGGTCAGGAGTTTGGAACACACTGCTGCACTTGTTAGCATTAAGCTCTTCTAGCTGAACCCCAACAAGAAGGTGCTGTTGAGGGAGGCAGTTTAGCAGGGAAGGCTGAGAAATTCCTCCTGTCGATGAGCACTGTGTTCAAGGAGGAAACTCTTCTGCATAGCTGTAGCATGATGTGTAGATGCGCTCTTGGGGAAGGAGCCATCGGCGCTGACTGTAGGGAATATGTTTGGAACATTTGTCGGTTTTGTTACGGAGGTATCTTGCTCCCTCTGCTGAGCTGTTCCTAGTGCTTTTCCAGAATAGCCCTTCCTGTTTAGAACTAATGCCACCTTTTTTTTTGTTTTTTACCTCCAGAGATTTGAAAAGCTGTGCCGTTGTATTCTTAATAGTATGGATGTTGAGAATGAGCCCAAGGTCAGCAGGGTGTTTTTTTAGTTTGGGGGTGGGGAGGGTTGTTTGTTTGGTTGGGTTTTTTTGGTGTTTGGTGGTTTGGGTTTTTTTTTAATTCTACATGTGGGGATTTAGGTTGGTGGTATTTGAATTTTTAGCTTTCAAAATCCCCTGAACACTGGTGAGATTCCATGATGAAAGTTTGGACAAGTTCTGTAGTATTCCTCTGGTATTTTTACTCTGTATACAGCTATAGGAGTTAAAGGGCAATTTCTTTCTGTGGTGGGTGGTATGCTTTGACCAGTGAATTCTGGGGAGAGAAATAACTTGGTTTTGTTGCTAGGTTGAGTAGGGCACTGAGGAGGCACTGAGAAATTACAAAGCTTCCTGGTAATAGATTCTGCCAACCTGTAGCATAAATACTCACCACTGCTCCCGTTTGTATCCTGCCTTTCTCAGGTCTGGTATGTGTCACTGGCACTCTCCAAGGATCTTACGCTCTTATGGATCAAACAGATCAAAGACCTTTTGTGGTTTTGCTGTGAATTTCTCAAGCAGCTTAAGGTAGGAAACATTTTCTTTGTGTTTTGTCTCCCTGCATTTAACAGTTCTGTAGTTTGGCACAAAGCTAATTTGATTTATTAACATTGGCATTTGTTATCGCAGCCTGACATCTTGCAAGACTCCAGACTGGTCAATTTGCACCTCACAATGCTTGTCACCTTCACAGATACTTCTACGTGGAAAATCCTTCGGGGAAAAGGTTGGTGCATCCAATTCAGTGCTTTAAGCCACTGCTTGGGGATTTGTTATTAAAATCTACTGAATGCTGTTTCTGCACCTTGTCTTCTCCCCATGCTTACCACAAAGATTCATTATGCTTCTGTGCTTGCACAAAGCATAGAATGAGCAGCAAGGATTCCCTTGAGATTAGATAGGCTATTTTCCCTTAGAACAGCAACAGTTACAACATTTTTATAATGCTCCAAAATCTCACACACAGAATTGTTCAGAGGATAATGGAATCTGGTTTTAGCTCTGGGTTTTTGTAGGAAATACACGTAGAAAAGGTAGACAAGTATCGTGAGGAAATACGACTCTCATACCTTCAGCAAGACTTGCTGTAACACGCTGCTAAAATGGTGGGTTTGCATATAAGGGCAAGGACTTTGTGCAAGAAGGGTTTATGAATTGACAAACTGTTTTATAGTTTGTAAGGAAGTAAAGAGTGGAGCTGTGATGCTGATTTAGTAACATCAGTGTTTTAACCTGGAAGGTGAAACCCTGAGGCCTGCCATGAACCACATCTGTGCAAACATCATGGGACATCTAAATCAGAAGGGATTTTATTCTGTGCTGCAGGTCAGTCTCGGGCTGATACAGTTATGTCTTCTCTTGATTCAAAACAAGCCCCAGTCCTGTGCTGTGGTCCTTGTTCTGGGGAAGCTTTTACAATCTCTGTGGTGGTGTGTCAGGGAGAAGCTGGTTGTGGAGCACTGGTGATTTGTGTGTGGTCATATTTTTCTTCAAAGTACTTAAGACCAGATACACTGTCTCCTTTTTGTCACTATTGCTTAATCGTCTCATAATGAGATCGCCAGGAAGGACTCTTGAATATTTTTCCAAACTGCTGCTGCCATTTTGTATGTATTTGATTTGTTTACTCTTCTGTACAAGAAAGGAACTGATGTAATTTTTCTTACTCTTTTAAAGGAGAATGATATTACCAGGCAGCTATGAGCCTTGCTTGTTAATTTTAAAAGGCCTGGGAACTCCGAGTACAGGTCCTACAGAAATAAGTACTGTAGAGCATCTGATTTGATTGCAGTTTCTCTGTTATGCTGTTACTAACCTGAAGCCCTTCTAGTTCTGCCAAATGACTTGTAGTAACTGGTTTTTAGGTTGCTTTGGTGGTGTTCTTTTTCTCTGCTCTGAAAATAAACAGAATGTCTTTCAGGAGTAATCATAATCTTTTTCTGAGTACTGCAGGGAGGTTTGGGTTTTTTATCTTCTTTTATTCCAGATTTTGCTAACTAATGGCTTGGCAAGATCCAGACCTTCCTTGTCCAAAGGCTCTTTGACTGCCATCTTCTCTCTTGCATTGCGGTAAGGCAGCCAGAGCTGCTTGGGACAATATGCAGCCAAGTTGTCTTTATTGTGTTTTTTGAAGACTTCTCATTCTGCCAGTCTCTTCATGCCATTGAGAGTATCACCGTGATGAAAGAAGCTGCATTAGGCAAATAGCTCACTTTCCTGTCATCCTTTTTCAGACCAGAATGCTCTTAAGTCAGTAATTAGTGTTAGTATGAGCCTAGACTTTGGAGTGCAATTCCAGTTCAGAGTACAGGATCTGTATGTCTTTCTGATGAACCATCAGGAGGGGTTGGAGTTCTCTAGATAAGTGAGGTTGTGTGTGCCTCTTCATGATGAACTGCTGTTGCAGATGTACCTGTTACTCAATTTGCAGGGGCAAAGTTCGTCCCTGAAACAAGAGCTGGTTGCAGGTCTTTCTAATGATTCAGTCTGTTTTCCTTAAAAAAAGAAAAGTATGCTGTTACCCTGACCTCATGTCTTTCCACTTTGGAAGTCTGCAGCCAGTCAGAAGCATTCTTTTAAGACTTTGTGATTAATTGTGTGCCACTTCCCTTCTATAGCTGTCACTGCTGGGATGATGAGGTTGTGATGTTCAGTAGAGTAGCAGTGGGCAGTGGATGTCCTTGAATATGCCACTTAACTTCTTCCTAAGGAGAACAACTATTTAATTACTGACTTCATGGTAGTGAGGAGAGATGGGGAACTTAGGAGATGAACCACATAACACATACAGTGCACTGGGTGGTATGGGTGTGCTGTGTAAAAATACATTATGCTGTGAACTGTTTGGCTTCTGTTCCTTTGAGTCATGAGCTATTTTGTGAACTTGCTGTGATAACAGAAGTGTAAGTGAATGTTCTTTTTCCGGTGATGCTTCTTGATGAGGGTAGAATCAGCAGCGAGTTCTGAATGGCTCAGTTAAAGACTGTGTCTTACTTTGCTAGGTCAGGTTTCTTGCACTGAAGTATTTTTCTCTCTGTAGCCCTGTGGTTGCTGCGCAGTTTTCAGACAATCTGTTGAGGTCGTTTCTGATCCATATCATGTCTGTGCCTGCTATAATGACTCATCTTGCTACTCTAACACCTGAGGTAAGTGGGTGATGTAATAGTATAAAAAATCTGCTGAATATCACATAAGGCCACTTGTTATTCTGTTTTATCAGCTCTTGGAACAGAGCATTGGCATTTCTCTCTTTGCCAGTTTCAACTCTCTGTTGTGGATGGGCTTGATCCTTACACCCTCCAGATACTCTGTGTTTCTAATACCACAGAAGTTATTAACACCAGTGGGATAATGGGCTGAACTGCCCTAAAATAAATAAATAAAATAAAAATTAAGGCATATGTGACACACAACTTGAATTTTTGGATGTCCTTATTCTTCCGTTTGTGTACAGGGCCATAGCAAAAATCAGTCTGTTGCACGGCAAAGGATCCGTGATGGTAGCTAGTAGGACGTCCACTAATCTAATTTAATTTGACTGCTCCTCTGTATAGCTTGGTGCAGACAGGCAAGTTTTGTGCCAAATGGGCATCCTGTGTTCTTGCAGACAGACGGTTGCAAAGGTCTGTCTGCAACTAGAACATGGCCTATTCACCTGCAAGGTTTTTTATTTCCTAGACCAGCTTCATGTCAAACACCCTCTGCAGTGCAGCAGTCTCAACTTGCTGCTTTATTTGGAAAGAAGAGACAATCCAAATTGCTAATGGCAGATCAGGTGTGGTTGTTCCGTGTGGCACTTCTCAGCCTCACTGGCAGTTAAATTCTGTCTTTCAGCGTCTGGCAGTGATAGAGTCTCATGATCTTTTCCGCAAGTTCATCCTTTTTTTAAGTCGTGAAGCACAATGTCGAGATGTCTGCGTGTGCCTAGAAGGAAGTCACACTCTTTGTTTGTTAGGTAAGCATCTGTAATACTTCTTGGTTTTTACTGTACTTGGAAGAGTCTTGAGTCAAATCTTTCTTCTCCATGGGTCAGAGCTGCCTCCAACTCATCATTTTTTATCCTTATTTAGATGATTTCTAAATAATAATTGAGATTTATTTGGGGATACTGCAAACATGGTTTAAGGCCCTTGCAAATGGAGGAAGGGTCAGAGACTTCTTCTGTACATGTCATCATACCTAAACTGTGAAGTATTATCTCTGCTGGCTTTTCACTTGGACTCTGAGAAAGTCTTGCAGTGTAGCAGACTTGAATCTAGCTTCCCTAAGCGGGCGTGCTACTGAAATACTTAAGTTCACATTTCTGTAGAAGTAACAAGAGGAACAGTTGGAACTCAGGAATAACCATGGATCATCTGTAACTCATAGTAATTTGTAGAAGGTGTTGGTGGGATATAGATGAGAAGGCGGACAAAGTGACATGCCACCTTAGTGGTTGATGTGTGCTGGAAATGGCTTGCTGCACATAGCCTCTAATAGTCATTCTTCACAGAAATCCTCTCCTGGACTTGAAAAGGGCTGTGAGTTCATTTTGTCTGTTATGTCTATAACCACTGTCCTGCAGCATCTCTTCCTCTTTTAAGTCTTGCTGTGCTGGTTGTTTTGCCAGGTAATCTTGTGTACTTGGGCTCCTTGAATGATAAAGTTCTTGAGGAGGAGACGGCTCATTTTGTGGGTGTGCTCATTCACATGCTTTCCTACTGCCAGAAGTACGTTTCACAAAAGAAATCCAACCTCACCCACTGGCATCCTGTCCTGGGCTGGTTTTCACAGACTGTGGATTATGGGTAAGTGACAAGGACCTTATGGTGATAGATGATTAAGCCTCTCTTTTTATTTTTTCCTTTTTTTTTTTTTTTATGCTGCAATGTGTTTTATGTTTTGAGATGAACAGCATGACCCTATTCAGAATAACTTCTCAGATGTTTCAGGTTATGCCTGCGCAATATAAACTGCTGCATTCATACACAGACTCTTACATGAGGAAATTAATTTAGGATAGTTAGACTGGTAAATGATGGCCATATTGGTACACTCGATACAGGATCTGTATATCAGCTCTTCCTATGAGGACCATGTGTAGGGTGGGTGCATGCTCCATTTTGACTATGATCTCAGTGTATCAAAGTATCACTGCCTGGTGTTTTATTCCAGCCTGCCTTCTACCATGTCTCTCTGACTTGTCTTTCAGATTGAATGAGTCCATGCCTCTGCTGACAAAGCAACTGCAGCATCTCTGGGGAGTCCATATGATCCGCATCCTCTTCAGTGATGTGCTCAGCAAGAAATTGCTGGAGAATCAGGAAATAGCTCAGCTGCCAACACAGCCGGTTTCCCCTCAGAACAGCCTTCCTATGAAGAGTCAGTTTTGGAGGGTCGCTTTTTTGTTTTGTGTGTGTGTACATGTGTGTGTCTCTCTCACAGACTCATAGGGCTTTGACTTTTCCACTCAGGCTAAAAGCTTTGAGTAATTACTTGCAACAGCTGCTGCTGCTTAGGTGGGGATATGGTCTCTCCTATTTGTAATTCCTACTCAGAATGCTTCTGTGACCTGGGGCAAGTCTTTTACCTCGGTGCTGTGAAAATATTTGCTTATTTTAGCAGTTTTTTTCATTGTTTCTCAAGTAGCTGAAGTGCTTACTGCATAACTTAGTACTTCCCAAGGCTTGATGGGAGGCCAGCTTCCCAGGAGAAAAGCAAGGTGAAGCTGGCTCGTGGACCTGTGATGCATGGTGACTCTGCAGAAGAGTATTTGGAATAAGACAGCTGTAATCTAGCTATTTTCTAGGTGCTGCCCATAGCACTAGATCCTGTGGTCATTAGTTACTGTGGTTCTGGTAAGGTTTTAACCTCTAGGGTAATGCCCCCACTGAAATATTCTTCTGTTGCTAGCAGCTGTACAGTGTTCTGCCAGAAAAGTCCACCAAAACCTTTTCTCTGTGGAGTGACTTAGTCTGCTTAAGATCCTCTTTATTGCATGGCTGCCAAGTGGCTAAGAATAATAAATGGTTTGGAATAGCACTTCTGTCTCCTGAGCCAACATCTCATGTGCTTCTCTGTCACTAGATCTTTTCAAGAGAGCTTTCCAGAAGTCTGCATCTGTCCGCAACATTCTCAAGCCTGTTGGGGGCAAGCGAGTGGACTCAGCAGAAGTGCAGAAGGTGTGCAGTATCTGTGTCCTGTACCAAACCACACTCGCAACGCTAACGCAGATCCGTCTGCAGATACTCACAGGTCAGGGCACATCTGTTCTTTTCAAATCACTTAAAATGTGGAGAAAAAATAGATTTTTCTTATTAAATTCTGTTGACTTGTTGGTACTTTTATTACTGACAACAGTTTATTGACTGGCTGGGTGGAAGGCTTGTTCCATCCTGAATCATACATCTGATCAATAACATTCATCACTTCTTTATCAAGCATTAACTCTCCAGAATACAAATTGAAGCACGTTTTCCTATAATGAAACCTTGCTTACTCCATATCAAACTTAGGACTGAGTCAGTGTTTTTGAGAAGCCTAGCAATATTAATCTTTATGTGGTGCAAACACTGAATGCTTTCATACATCTTAAGAACAAATTACCTGTCTTAGGAATGGATGGAGGAGCAGATAAGCACTGTTTTGGTTTAGTGGCTAGAGCAGAGGAATGAGTCCAGAGCCTTGGGTGCTTTGTGGCTATAGTGGTGACCACAGGTACAACCCTATTCTTTGTGTTCTCATCTCTAAGATGGCTGTAATGGTGATTGGAACACAGAAATTAATTACTTTCTAAAGTTGCAAAATAATCAGTGGGAAAGGGCTTCAGATGTGCAAACAACTAATGCCTCGTTAAAAGCTTTTTTCTGCTTTCCTGGTGATTGTACGTCTCCTGTTAATGCAGACAGGCTTGGGAGCCAAATGTGATGCTTATGTTGCCTTCAAGTAAAGTGTTGCTTTGCAAAAGGATCTTTCAGGTCCAAGTCACGTTCGTCTCTTTGAGCCTGCATGAACAAGCAGGCAGAACAAGCTTTACTGAGTGTGCTTTACATTTTTCCTAGGCCTCACCTACCTGGATGATCTGTTACCCAAATTATGGGCTTTTATCTGTGAGCTGGGACCACAGGGTGGGTTAAAACTCTTCTTGGAGTGCTTGAATAATGATACGGAGGAATCAAAGAGGCTGCTGGCCATGTTGATGCTCTTCTGTGACTGCTCCCGCCACCTTATCACGTAGGTAGCAAGCAGAGGCTGCTCTCTAGATTTGTAATGTGAAGCTCTTGTGTTCCTTAAGTTTCAGGAGGAATAGTTATGGTATTGCTGCCTGTGCTTAAAAATAACTAGGCAGAGTAAAGCAGCAAGCTTTTCAGATAGAGTGCTGAGAAATAAAGGACTTCAAAAGGACTTTCCCCCTCAGCTATGTGCTGCTTCAGGAATATACAGCTGGCTGAACTGGTAACAAAATATTACAGCACTGGCTAGGGAGGGGGAAGAAACATTTCTTCTGCTGCTTTTGGGCAACAATTGTGTCAGTCCAAAGCAAACATTTCGATGAGTCCAGATAAGCTTTGAGGATCAATGTTATAATACTGCTGCAAGAAAGCTCCCCAGCTTATGTGTTTTTGTTTACAATTCCTTTGCTGTCTCATTCATAGACTTACACAACACAAAGGATGGCAGAAGGGGTAGAAAATTGCCTTTGCTGGTCAGTAGAGACAGTTTTCTTAGCTTGAATGATGAAAAAGTTTTCTTGGGGATGAGTGCATAGGTCCTTTTTAACTATGAAATACTGGCTTTGCTTGTATCTCAGACCTTTCGTGCTGTCTTCTGTTAGGATCAGATATCGATCAAATTCAATAAATAAGGTTTAGTTGTTTATGACTTTAGATCCTCGTGGGTGTCAGTTGTCATAGAAATAAGAGCTGCTGCTAAAGGATAATGTGCCTTTATGAAAATTTCAAAAGGGAATTAAATTTACACTTATGCATTTGCATTTGTTTTCTCTGATAGGATTCTTGATGACATAGAGGTCTATGAAGAGCAGATTTCATTCAAACTGGAAGAGCTTGTTACCATCTCGTCTTTTCTGAATTCTTTTGTATTTAAGATGATTTGGGATGGAATTGTAGGTAAATGCTTTTAGTAGCTTGAGTTGAGGTTACTATTAGAACAACAAAAGGCATTAATTTTGGAATTTGAAGCTTCTGCTAATCATTACTTCGCACAAAAAATCATACTACATTGTGTGGCATGAGAATATGTCCCAGTCTTTTGGTGTCCAGATGCCACTATTGTGCTTGGCACCAAATACAGTGCACTTCTCTATTTCCAATTAAGAATTTGTGTAACAGACATGATGGGCGTGTTGGTTTTTGCCAGAGACTAAGTTTAGCATGCCTGAGTCATATATTGGATGAGAATGTAATACAGTGCTTTGACAAAGCAGAGCAGGCTTGCTAGGGTCTCTGTAGATATCTGCTGTTGATCTATATGCTGGTATAATTTGGGTACAGCTCAGTTCTGGCAAATACATGAGATCGTCCATTTCTGTTGTGATGGCTCAGGTGGAGCTGGCTGAGATGGCTGGCTGTCTTCTGGGAGGCTCAAAATCTCTCCTCTCTGAAGGCCGTGGAAGTTAGGAGAAATACGCCTGTCCTATTAGTGTGGGGTGGATGATCCATATGTTGCTCTAGGGCACTCCTGTTACCTAGGGTGCCTGGACATTGCTGCTTTGTTCCTTTTGTTCAGAGAATGCCAGAGGGGAGACCCTGGAGCTGTTTCATTCTGTCCATGGCTGGCTCATGGTCTTGTATGAAAGGGACTGCCGCAGGCGTTTTGCTCCTGAGGATCACTGGTTACGCAAGTAAGTGTTCAGCTCAAGGCAAGGATTGTGTGTGCTTGTCCCAGTGCACCAGCTCCCTTGTGGGTGGTTGGTTTGGGATCCCTTACTTTTAAATTGAGTGCCTCTCATTCTACCTGTGAGATCAAGGTCAGAACTGCTCCCTGTGTTTGCAGTTAAGGACGCCCCTCCTATTGTGCTTGTCTTCTGTGGTGTAAGGATTAGCTGCTGCTCATGGAGGGTGATGCTTTGAAAACTGACTCAGCACCTAACAGCTTGAGTGTCTCTGGCCTTCTTAAATGTGTACACCCGAGCACTTAAGTCGTCTTTGAAATCATTACAGGTTTCCTCTCTCTCCTACCCCCAGCTGTTTACCACACCTGGGCATTTCTCAGGGATCTCTGAATCTCTGCCTTTCTTTGTAAGGGACCTCAAACCCAGCGTGCTCTTCCAGGAGCTGGACAAGGACAAGAAACGAGCCCAGCTGCTCCTGCAGTACATCCCGCACGTCATTCCCCACAAGAATGTGAGTGGGACAGGGACAGAGGCTGAAAAGCCAGTGACCTGGGTGGCGTAGGATGGAAGGCACGTGTGTCTTGAGCATTTTGTGGCGTGGAGCTTGTGATTGAAATGCCAGTTAAACAGAAGTCTTCTCCGTCCCTCCCCAGTCTCCTCAATATATTTCCTCTAAACTGTCTTGATTGCTCTCATTGAGAGAGAGCTTATTTGTGTGGGCAGCTGCATAGAGTCATCCAGCAGTGCATGACATGGCTTTGGAGAAAGTCCTTATGCGGAAAGCAGTGTCTTTTTGCAGGTAGCAAATCTGCAGAGATGACAGATTTTTATGTGGTGATAGGAAAGGTGCTTTTGTTTTCAGTATTGTCAGTACCCTGTCCCTCCCATAGCAGAGCTTCAAGGATTTCTCTGCCCTGCCGGGGAACAAGGAGGCAGATCCCACTATTTCTAGTGAGTGAGTGACAGTGGCATCATTGGGCCTAGCTGGGAACAGGACAGCCAAGAGCTAGTTCTGGGTATGCGTCAAGAGCATCTAAAAGCCCTGCTGCACTGGAGGATAAGGATCCTTGTGGATGAAGACTTACATTTGTTTCCTCTTTAAGAGGGTGCTGCTTTTCCGAAATATGGTTGCAAAGGAGAAGGAGAAGCTTGGGCTGGTTGAAACCAGCTCCGCATCACCTCATGTCACACACATCACTATCCGCCGCTCACGTATGCTGGAGGTGAGTGACTTGGCTTGCAGAAGCCAACCAACAAGCCAGTAACTTGACCTGACAAGAATGGGGTGTGAATATGTTTTTATCTTCTCTGTGGATCCTGAGGGACCCAGTGCCAGTTCTGTCTGCTTTTGTATGAAGTGATGTTACAGGAAAATGCTGGACCTTAATTTGGTTCAGACTGCCGCAAGCCTGTAGTCTTGACTAGGAAAAATGCTGGTCTTTTTGGACACAAAATTCAGTGACAAATGCAGATTTCTGTGGTGTATCTGTCTCCTGTCTCTGCCGCACGTCTGTGTGGTTGTTTCACACGTTTCCCTGTATGATTGTCCTCTGGCTCTTCTGGTCTGTGTAGGATGGGTACGAACAGCTACGGCAGCTTTCCCAGAATGCCATGAAGGGAGTGATCCGAGTGAAGTTTGTGAATGATCTGGGTGTCGATGAGGCTGGTATTGATCAAGATGGTGTCTTCAAAGAGTTTCTGGAAGAGATAATAAAGAAGGTGTTTGACCCCGCACTCAACTTGTTCAAGGTATGATGCAGGGCTGCAGTTGCTGACCCTGATGACCCATTGCAGAGAGAAACAGACTGGCTCACTGTACCATTATCTGTGTTTGTGTGCAGACAACGAGTGGTGATGAGAGGCTGTATCCATCCCCAACGTCCTACATTCATGAGAACTACCTACAGCTCTTTGAGTTTGTGGGGAAGATGCTTGGGAAGGCTGTATATGAGGTGAGCCAAAAGTACCATATTAGGATATTGTCACTGTTGGTATAGCACTGTTCAGAAGCAGTTCTGTGATGGTGCCCCTTGCCTTTGAGAGCATCTGTCACATGCTTGGGGAGGTGTTACTGAAGAGGTGAGTTTGGAAAAATGACTTGGATAAAGATACTGATGGTGGAGCAGTCTGGCACTTCTGCAGGCATGTATTAAAAATAATTTTGGAGGTAAAACCTGGGACATACTTTGATTATTATTCTCGGTGCTGGGGACACTAGCTGGAATAGTCTGTTACATTGGTGTTACACCTTACAAGCATCCATTTGTTAATACTTTACTTAAAGGGACATGTGGCTAAAAGGAGGATGGGATGACAGAATGACCTTCTCCATGTAAAGTAGTTCTTTTAAAGGAAACATGAGTTCCCCTATTGCCTTTTTGCACCTGCTCCACTAATTAATGGTTTTAAAGAGGATTTGGTTTTCTCAGCTGATTTCAATGTCTTACATCTTTGTGCTTGTTCCACAGCACATGATATGCCTGCAGGCCTCATAGGTAACCAGAAACATTACACATAAGGAATATGTGGCAGGACCTTACCTATTCATTCTTGTTGTCTGTAGGGAATAGTTGTGGATGTACCATTTGCTTCCTTCTTTTTGAGTCAGCTACTTGGGCACCACCACAGTGTCTTCTACAGCTCCGTAGATGAACTTCCCTCCTTGGACTCTGAGTTTTATAAAAATCTCACTTCAATTAAGGTTTGAGCCTTACTTTTCCTGTTGTTCAACTCCCTTATCACTGGCTGCTGCTAGAAATACTAGAATTACAAATGCCTTTGAGGTACCAATCATCTTTAAAACACCCAGGAAGTAATTGGTGATTCTGAGGCAGGTTGGCAGGTAGCAATCCTGTGTTTTTACTGGGGCAAGCAGGGATGAGAAAGAGTCTGAAGGTGTAAACCTGGAACTGGCAATCAGGAAATCCCAAGTTTTAGCCTCAGCTCTTATGCAGTCTCCCCGTAACCTAGAGCGACTTGTGTATTTGTTATGCTTTGATGCCTCATGCCTGCTGGGGATCACTCAGTGGAAGAGTAATACAAAAATGCAGAGCTGCTGTTCCTGCTGCTAAACACTGACCTTCTTTCCCTTTTTCTATTGTTCCTCTAGCGTTATGATGGTGATATCAGTGACTTGGGCTTAACACTGTCCTACGATGAAGATGTGATGGGTCAGGTAGGCTTTCATTCAGTGACTGTGTTGGACCTTATCTTATCTCTGCTTTGTTCCAAACACCCTCCTCATGCTAGGTGGTGATGAGCAGAATTCTGGGCACTGATAGTCAGAGTCCACAGCCCTGGCTCAGGCAATCCCTGTTTCTCCTGATTAGATCCGAGCTGCTCCACACAGGAGCATCTCCCTCACTTGTCTGGTTGATGTTACCAGGAAGAGCATTTGAAGCACTAAGAGGGATCCCAAGGATCGTTGCCCACTGCTGTGGGAAAGCCTGTGGTGCCAGAAGTAGCAGATTGTGACTATGAACAGTTAGCAGCAGAACTAGGTTTGACTCCTGAGCAGAGGTGTCCTAGCTTTTATTGGTGTCCTTAGAGCAGAGAAATATATTTGCAGTCTGACTTGCCAGCAGAAGACAGCTATTATTCTCTGCTGAGCTTTCCGAGAGCTGGTCTTGAGCATCTAAAAGTCAGGCAGTCTGTCCAAGCTCATGCTACACAGGGTGCTTTTTTTCTGGCTATGTCAGGTGGATGTTCTGTGTGGCCCATCTGAAAAAGAATCCTGAGGGGACTGCCTAGTAAATGACCTTGTGTTTGATTGTGGTTAGGGCTTAGCTCTGCTCTCCTTTTACAAAAAAATGCCTGTGCTGAAAGGCTGGCTCAGCTTCAGAGGTTCTCTGAACTCAGCCATAGGATTCTGCAGCTTCGTTCAATATTTAGCTGTGGGCAGAGAACAGCTTTTTCCACAAAAAGGTTGCCTTCTGACCCTTAATTTTTCTAGTGCCAGGATTTTTTCTTTTCTAACTGAAAAACATTGGGTTTTGCTTTCCCTGCATAAATGGTTTTCCCCTCTTTTAAAAAGAAGAATCTGTGTGAGTAGGGAGGAATTCCTTTTCTTTAAATGTAGCCATTTCTGTCAGAGAAACTTGAAGTGTGTCAGGAGGTCTCTTGGCCTTGAGAAGAGAAGGCTGTCTGTCAGTCCCTTATGAAGGCTTGAAGGTTCTTGGTTGCACTTGTGTCTTGGGTTCTGTGATGCTGTGTGCACATAGCTGGAAAATACAAATAGATAAGATAAGAATGCCTTTGCTGTCCATGTATGCTGTTATTGCTGCAAATTCTGTGGGGACGCCCCAGCTAGCGCTAAGCCTGAGCACTGTTAGCAATGTAGATCCAGTGGCACAGAGCTCAGAGACCACTAAGTCACAGAGTGTTTATCTGGGGCAGCTTGTCCTCGAGAGCTTTGTGTGCTGCAGTTTCTTATCCCGAAGCTGGCTAGTTTGGACCTAGCTTACATACATCTGATAGCAGCAATAGCAGTGTAAATGTACCTGTGAAGCTGCAAGGGTGAATGGGAAGACAGCTAAGTACCGATACAGCCCTGCTCTGCACAGGTGAGAGGGTGCGCCCGCCGCACAGTGGGCTGAACACCTTGCTGCTGCCTCAGGATTGCTGAGGTTTCAGCTTTGGGGTTTCTTCCACCTTAAAAATAAAGGTAGGAAACAGCATATGAGAGCCCAGCAGTAAGACATGGAAGGCTGCAGCACTCAAAACTTCAAAATAAACCAGGGGACTCCTGTTTGCCTTGTGTTTTGGCCATGCTGAAACAGCCAGGTGGGGTAACCCTGTGGTTCCTGAATGAACTTGTGCGTCCCCGCTACGTACGGCCCTGTGTTGGACACAGGGGAGCTGAGTTCATTCCCTGTGCTGGGCTCCCTTCTGACCTTGGAAGTCACCTGGAACTGAATTACGGAGTCCACTGTAATATGTGAATAACGACTTTCTGCCTCTTAGCGTCGGTGCAAAGATGAGTCATTACTCTGTTGCTGTCGCAAGCACCCAGAGGGTCCCACTGCTGTCTCTGAGCAGTGCTGTTGGCTGAGCACCAGGCCCTGGCCTGGCAGGGCAGGGAGAAGATACTTCCCAGCTGTGTCACGTTCTGAATGCTCTCCGCTTCATGCCTTGAGTGCCCAGCTTGAGGGACAGTGAACTCCAGGGAGCTCTGTCACTCAGGTGGCCCCGGACGAGACCTGTGGAGCAGACAGTTTTGGATTGTGCTGTTAGACTGAGCTATGCGAAGGCTCTGAGCTTGTTCAGCCTCTGGATTCTGGGATTGTGACAGTCCCCCAGGACTCTTTGAATTGATTTGTGTGCGG